TGAACTGTGTAGTTAAGTTCAGCCCCAGATAAAGAGTGACTGGAGTAGGCAATGGGTTTCCAGAGGCCATCATCACATTCTACCAAGAGCACTGCTCTGGTGGCATAGTCTGAAGTGTCCATCTCTAACCAAAACCTCCAGTCCTGATTGGGGAACATAAGGATAGGAGCAGTGGTGAAGGCTTCTTTTAGCATATCAAACACTATTTGACACTTGTCATCCCAGATGAATGGAAGGTCCTTCTTTGTGAGGTTATTCTGGGGTTTTGTGATCTGTGTGAAGTCCTTCATGAAGTGTTAGTAAAAGTTTGCTAGGCCGAGACAGACCCTTCAGTCACCTGTAGGCCTGAAAGTGGGTCATCCAACATGCACATTTTGTCCTAAAAGTGGGACTAACTGATGTTGGCTGATGGTGCCCAAAGGTGGGTGACCTCATGGGGAGATGGATGTACCCCATGGAAGTGGGGTTGGCCAACCTGTTTGGAGGGTGGACCCAGTCCCAGGAAGTGGGTTTGGCCAACCTGTTTGGAGGATGCACCCAGTGCCTGGAAGTGGGGTCAGCCAACCTGTTTGGAGGATGCACCCACTGCCTGGAAGTGGGGTTGGTGGACCTGTTTGGAGGATGCACCCATGCCTGGAAGTGGGTTTGGCCAACCTGTTTGGAGGATGGACCCACCTCCTGGAAGTGGGGTAGGCTGACCTGTTTGGAGGGTAGACCCACTGCCTGGAAGTGGGGTCAGCCAACCTGTTTGGAGGATGCACCCACCTCCTGCAAGTGGAGTTGGCTGACCTCACTGGGAGATGCACATACCCACACCAGTAAGAGGTTCAATTTTAGTACCTTCAGCTTTCTGTCAAAACTTGTATGAGGACATTGCAAGATAGCATGGCAAAGTACAGAGTAAGCCCCCTCTACATTACTTGCTTTTTGGCCTTTCAGCAGGTCTCCCCCCACCACTAGGCACCTTTTGGTTGTGACTCCCAGTAGCCAGTACCACATCAGCATTCATCGCTAAGTCACTAAGTGTTGTAGAACCCCCCCCCTTTGTCCCTAGGAGCAACCAATCTTGACAGTCTCTTTCCATGTCTCCATTCTTCATGTTTGATCCTAATCTAACATTCTGCACTTAGTTGTCTATCTGCTTGTTTTCTTTTAAAGTCTCTTATCAGGTTAGAACTGATCCTCTCACCCAAGGGGGGTATAAAGCTCTAGGGATCTGCTGATGCTCATTGACAAGTACCAATGCAGTACCAAGGGTGGGACATTACAGCTGAGATGTTATGAAGTTGATCAAATGATACTGAACACAAAGTGGACCTGCTCTGTAGTTGACATGTTATGTAGCAGTGTCCTTGTACAAGTCCTGACAGAAGGCTGATAAAGAAGACCTAGTAGAGGTATTACAGTTGATATTCAAACTGAGGTATCTACCACATGAGTTACCAACATATGTATGTACTACCAACAAGTAATGCAGGCTACAATGTAGGTATGCACAGCCAACACAAAGATCCCAAGTGCCAGTAATCCAAAGACTGACAGGTATGGTCCAGTATGGTAAAGGTTAGACCCAATGGATTGGACATGAGCTTAGACCAATGGATTGATTACCTTGGTCTTGGGTCCCAAGTCTTTGGCCTATGCCATACCCATTTACCTACTACTTACACACAACCTCACACCCACCCCATGTGGTATGGATCCCTTAGATTTCACACTTATTTGACCCTCAGGTTTACCCTTTGACTCAATCACCAGGGTGGTGGGATTTCTACTTTGCCCAGTGCATGTCCTTTGCTAGGGTTAGGGTTAGGGTTACACAACTTCAAAGAATCAAGCAGCATGGGGGCAATTCATGTTACACAGCCTAGCAACTACAAGGATTGACCAACCAAGTACACAGCCCAGAAAATACAGGATTGAGCAAATACACAGCCAAGAAAAATACAGGACTAAGTTGCAGAGCAAATGTTCCAAGTGGAACTGAGACCTCAGGCATCCTGGAGGGGCCGCTCCCCAGAAAGACACTGAGATCTCTAGAGACAATAAGGTATCTAAAAGACTAGTACAAAGAGAATACACATCAGCCACTGGTTGCAGCACATGCAATGAAGCATGTCACATGACATCACATGCCATGCTGATGGCACACCGCACAGTACAACATTACTGTTATGTAATCACAAAAGCGGACCTTACACTACAAAGTAAAGTAGTTAATTGGTAATGAAAACACAACTACAATGATGTCATGGCACATTTGTAATGAGACCCTGCCACAACTAATTAGATAAGCATACTGATAGTAATACCATCAGGGGCCATTTGTGAAGCTGAATACAGCTGTGCATATGTTGACACAGCCACATCAATGAGAAATTCAAACTCTGCTTTGAGGGTGGGATAATGATGGTAAGGGGCACACAGCCACAATGAAGTCATGACAAAATTAGATTGAAACTCTGCCCCAACTAATTACATAAGCATACTGATATTAATACCATCAGGGGCCATTTGTTGAGCTGAATACAGCTGTGTACATAATAAATACAGCCACATCAATGAGAAATTCAAACTCCGCTTTGATGGTGGGAAAGTGATGGTATGGGGTACACAGCCACAATGATGTCATGACAAAATCATGTTGGCTGACCCCACCTTTACAGTCCAACCTACCCACCCCTAGGGACCACTGGCCAATGTCAGTTAGTCCCAGTTTCAGGACAAAATTTACATGTCAGATGACCCACTTTTAGGCTTACAAGTGACTGAATCATGTGGGTGAGAAAGCCATGAACTCCATGAACATTTGTAGGTACTGGCCAATCTTGCACAGCAGAGATTTTGGCAGGGTCCATATGTAATCTCTTAATGCTAATGATCATTCCTAAAAAGTCCACCTCTTGTTGTCTGAAGATACACTTCTGGGGTTTGACAAAAAGGTCATTCAACTTCAGCCTTCTAAGCACCTCCAGCATGATCCTGTCATGTTCCTCCTGATTGTCCATTTTCATAAATATCATTAGGTCATTGATGTAGATGATGAGCACATCTTCCATATCACCAAAAATGACATTCATCACATTCTGGAACATTGCAGGTGAGTTGCAAAGCCTAAAGAACATGACTAAGGGCTCAAAAGCACCACAATGGCATATGAAAGCAGCTTTCCACTCATCACCTTCTTTGATCCTAATGTTGTTGTAACCCCAATGAAGATCCATCTTTGTAAAGAGTTTGCAACCTTTCAACTTGTCAACAAGCTGAGATATTAAAGGGAGCAGGTACAAGTTTTTCATGGTATGCTTGTTTAAATATCTATAGTCCTGGACCATATGCTTTTTTCCATCCTTTTTAGGGATGAAGAACACTGGAGAGGTTTGTGGTGATTTACTGGGCCATATATAACCCTTCTTGAGCTGACCATTGACAAAGTTGCTGACTTCTTGTTGCTCATCAGGGGAGAGATGGATCAACCTTCCCTTCTTTGGTACAAACAACTCCTTTAGTTCTATTGCATGGTCCCAAGGTTTCCTAAGTGGCATGTGTTCAGATTCTTTTTCTGAAAAGACCAATAAATACTCATGATATGCCTTTGGAACAAGTTCCTCAGGGGTTTTATCTGTTTTTGGTTTGTCTGTTCCTAGATGTCAAATCCAGGTTATGTAAGAGTCCATGGCTTCTCTTTCAAGTTTTTCCACCTTGTGGACAAACAAGGATTTCAGTGCCAGTTGCTGGCATCTAGCCTGGCATCTTCCCATTTTAACCTTGCTGATTTTCCAATCTATCAGTGGGTTGTGCTGATGTAACCAAGTATGTCCCAGGATCATGGTACTACCTCCTAGATTGGTTATCTCAGCAAGAAGTTCCTTGTGATGGTCAAGGTAGGAGACTTGAAGCTGAGCCTGATGCATAACTCTTCCAGTGGAATTAGGTGAGCCATTGACATTAAATACATCTACTGCTTTTGGCAGCACTACCTTCAGAATCTGGTTCCTCTAGACAAAGTTTTTATCTATAAATACCCCAGTAGCACCACTATCAAGCAGCACATTAACCTTGAATGCTGAACTGGCATTCATCCATAGAATCAGAGGGACCTCCACAGAATCTTTCAAGTTCAGTGTGCATCAGGTTTCAGACTGTACAGAGGTCTTTGCACTACTACCTTCCAGATCTGGGAGATTGAAAGAAACATTTTTTTTTTATTGCAAGCAGAATTAAGCAGGCATGGTTTTACATCTGGCCCCAAGCCCTTTCAGGACTCCACTTCAGATGATGTAAAGGTAAGAGAAGGAAAAATAGATTCTGAACCATTAAATAAATCCTGTGGTTTTTCAATGTCAAGAAAAGAGAAATGATTGAAGGAAGCTACTGGTACACTATTTTTGGCATTTTTATTTTCTGTTTTTATATTTTCTTTTATATTTTTAAGTCCATAAGTAGAATGAAATCCATAACTAAAAGAGGAAGAAGGAGAAACAGGAACAAATGTCCATACATTAGAGTCTGCAGGACCCAATTTCACTGCAGCTCTGATTCTTTTAACTGGTTAATATGAGTGACAATTTGCTCGAAGCTCATCCCCTCCATTGCTCTTAGGTGGGGGAGCTTATAGAAGGCTTCATGCCAGATGACATGCTTGAAATTTACATAGCCAGTCTTTCTCTCCTCACTTGCAAGCTTGGGAACCTGCAAAAACCTGTTTGATCAATTTATTACTCTAAAACAAAGAGATATCATACTCACAATTGGAAGCCAGCCTACCATGCAGCCACTGCCATATTGTTCACCATTGTGAATGTGAACTGGGAGGTTGGCACAATGCGCTACCGTGGGGTAACCCTTGACAGTACCATGAGATGACAGCTATGTCTTGTCAGCACAAAGAATAAATGCAAATGGAACAGCATTCTCCACATGTGTGGGTAACCATGACTTCATTTGCATAACAGGAAGAAACACAGTGAATTTACACAGTACAATGGTATGAAATAATATTAATTACAATGCACTTGAATATCCCACCAATGATCACCCATCCAAGGTTTGGTGTAGAAGTGTTCATATGTCTCACCATCAAGTTTGAAGACCCATTCAGCATCCTGGATGAAGTGCAGTTCAAGAAAAGGATTTTGCAATAAATCAAGGGCCCAGTCCCACAGAGGGTGGATGTGGATGGGGAATGTCACATCACTGCCCTTATAGGGCACAGCAATTTCAAACTTTGAGAACTGACAAGTGGCTGGGAAGTGAGCCACTTGTCAAAAGTGCACTGGAAATAAACAACTTACTGGTGTTAGTTGTGCCATCACTCTATCCAAAGCAGTGCAAAGCCCAGCATCATTATGCAGTGTGATGCTTGCTGTTCCTTGCCATATACAATGAATCAACCTGAGTTGAGCTAAGCCCAGCTTCAATGGCGACAGTAGCAAAAATGTAATTGCCCTCTGAAGCAAAAGGGCGCCAGGGCTCATGGTCTGGGGCCATGTATTTGAGGTTTTGCTGGCCAAATTCTTCGGCAGATTGGAAAAGCATTGGGCACTTGCTATGGGGAAGAAATTCAGTCTTGAATTCAGGACAATGGTCATTTCAGACATCCAGCACAGCAGAGTTTACTGAGTGACCTGCCACTTGGGCTGCAATTGACATGTCAGAATCCAGATTCATCACAAACAACAGGAGATTAGTTGAATTTCAGTTAGAGATGAACATTCTAAACTTACCTGAGTCCAGTATATTCCTATCATGAGGACTCATCATACCCATCAACACATCATCTTCATTGAGAGTGAAGCCAGTTGGTGATCCTGTCTCACAAAGTGTAAGCATTGAGAGCAACACTAAGGTGGTCTACATACCAGGAATTGATTGTGAAGGGCCCACTGACAGCTGCTGCAGAGCCTGAAGACCTGGTGATGCCAGGGTGCACTAATGACACAGACATAGCTGCAACTGCTTCCTTAGCAATTTTGGCTAGTAAACAACCATTGTAAATTAATGGACAGATGAGAGGGGGGAAAGGTATTGACTTGCTTCGATGAACATCTTGTATGTATGCCTTATTGTGTTTGTCTCGTTCTTTGTGGTTCATGTGCTCCTTCACACAACTGGTCTTGTGCTTTTTGATTCCTTGTGGTAGATAGAGATTACTGCAGTGCTTGCAAGGTTGCTTAGTGGATGACTTTTTTGACTGCTGGTAATTTTGATGTGCAGGCATGGTGGATGGAAGGCAACAGGCAAAGCTGATTTGGGTCTGAAATGACCCATAATATTATGATATGTAATTGATAAGTTAGATCAGAAAATTGATAATGATCATGTCACATGCACTTGCAATGATTCATTGGGCTTAAGGTGCACATCCAAATACCAAATGGAGTATTGTTATGGCATTGATATGATAAGACAAGATAAGATATCATTACATTGCCATTGTTATGCCATTGAATTAGGCATCTCAGTCACATGACAAGCCACCAGGATTGTCATGGCACTTTACTCTTTTGTGACAATGTCCACAACACCTTTGGTGTGTGACAATGGTGTGTGAAAACTTAGTCTTGCTCATAATGTGTATTGTGAGTTTTGTATACATGCATGTGAACATGAAAGAAAGTGAGACCAGATGCTGCATTCTGTACAAAGATCTGTTGTCATCAAGGAAAAAAGTCAGCAAGTAAGTGTGTGATGAATTGGATACAAAGGTGAAAGGGCATGCTCAACTTCCCAACAGTTGTCTGACTTGAGTGCATTCCATTGTGACCTTGACCAGCCAGCAATGCATCTGTTGTATCCACAGGTGCAAAGCATCACCAACACTCATTCTGTTTCCTGATGCCTTATCATATGCCTGTAAACTTTTGTCAGTAGCATATCCACCTCAAGTATCTTCATGCTCTTGCATCTTCATGGTCTCCATTTGTCCAGTACCTGTTTCAATTAGTAGCTTCTGTTCTCACATTGTATGAAATTCACCTTGTGCCTCATTCACCAATTCCCCTCACTGACAGTTGAGTGTTGGTCTCTTGTGAGGCATGACTTTTGATTCCCCCTCCACTCTCAGCAACTTCAAGTCTGCCCCTTCCCTGCCCCACCCATGTCCCCCAATGCATTCAAAATTCCCAATGGTGCTTTGACTCCTGTTGATGTGCCTGAGACTGCTGAAGCAGTTACAGACATGTTCAGTGACTTGTATAGCTTGGTGGTATGTCTTCTGTTCCACATGTGTACCAGTCTGTCAATATTGACTCACCACTAGAATTTTTCTCCCAACAGTTCACCCCCTGAATGGGCTGCTCCTGCTGCAGTCACTACACCTTCCACCATAGACCCTGCTTTACTCTCCCTCAATGCTTATCCCCCTCCTGATATCCCAGCTGACAATGTTCCCATCACTGAAATGACTGGGCATGATGCAGACATTGACTTCCACTTGATTCTGACTTTCCACAACACCCTACAAGCCATCATCCATATGCTGGACCATTTCCCTGCTGAACAAGTTATGTCCAAGAAGGTCCTTGGAAAACAGAAGAGGGGGGACCAGGGAAGGGAAGAGGAACTGAATTGTGGTTTCCTCACCTTTGAGGCTTCAACAGCCTTGTAGACCTATATATATATATATTTCTTTGCTCTGTAGTTTCAACACTTCATTGGTCAGAGCATATCTCTATCATCATACATAAAAGGAATGAGATTTTTGTCCACTCTGGCAGCCTGCTGTCCAGCATCCAGTAGATCAAGTTTCATGTGGTGGGCATAACAAGTAGTGAAACAGATTGCATGATATTCCCCCAATGTCCCTGCATCAGTGCATGTACTACTTACCACTTTGCTCCACAGCAGGGGGGAAAAGAGTTGGGTATGCATCTGATGTGATCTGTTCCAGAGTGGTTGCTAACAGTGTTAATCATGATTTACTATTTCTCAACACTGACTTCAATCTGTTGCTGAAGTACCTTTGATCTGCTACTGAGTGTGTTGCAAGTCTTCAGGTTCCTTGCTAGGATGGTTGATGGCTTGCAAAGGACAAGATGGTGATGGGTCAGAACAGATATCTGCAATGTGCTCAAAATTCTCTGGTTGGAAGGCCACTAGAGATGGTAAGTAACCTACATCACCTGTGTCCATAGGAACATATCACTATCAAGCTGCTCAACAATAAAAAATTCATCATCATGTTTGGTGTCAGGTGCTAGAATGGCTCCTCAGATGATTGAGCACAATGGTATGAAGATGGATGCAGCCCATGGAACTATCTTGACATGTTTGAGCCTGAGATCGCAATCAATAGTGTGAGCCAGTCTGATCCTTGTTGTGGAGGGTTGTGCCAAGATAAATTCCATGTTTCCTATGTCTGGATTGACACAGGAAAACATGCAGATGAGATGAACAAAGGTGGTTTCTGTCTCAGTGTATTGAAGAAGTGCACAGTCATAGGGGGGCACACCAAAAAATGATGGGTTGCAGCAGAGATGATCTGTGCACTGGTTCCAGGTGACAGTCAACTTGTAGTTGACCAGCATATAATGGTATTCTTTAACCTTAGCACAAGCACAGTTTCAACTAGATGAATACATAATGAGAGTGTAGATACATACCACAAAGTCAGCAGGGAGGGAGATCCATGACTTGACTTGATATCCATATGCTGGAAGGGTGTCATTAAGGAACTCACAGAACCTTTGACAGAACTGATGGAATGCCATATCTGGCTGACCATTTTCCTCCAAGTCTTTCAGGATTTGGGTTGTGATGACATGTGCACCAAGCTTAATATGATCAAGTGAGGTATGCTCACTGACTGCATCAGCTTCTGGATCTGATTCCCCAGAGACAGATTTCTTGAGGTAATCAACATGCAATCTGAGAAGCTTTGTAGCAAGAACTTAATGATCTACCCACAAGACCTAACATGTATTTTAAAGTGACTGTGAGTAGGAATGTTGGCACACACAGTTGTCATACCTGAGCAGGAATGTCTCTACCATTCGAACAGTGTTCATATTCATCTTGGATTGGCTTATGTATACTTTCATTGGGCCAAGTGCTATAGTTGCATGCAGCACCCTTTAGGCAGATATCTCCATTGACATGCTTCCAAAGGTGGACTTTCAGGAAATTCCAGTCAGATTGCAGACCTTCAATGTTGGACTTCATGATGCATTTGATGTAGTCCTGAGAATGACACATTACAACAAATTGGCATGAGCACAAAGCATATAACTACCTTCAGTGTCTGGACAAATGTCAATATCTTGTTGTTGATCATGTTAATCATATGTTCAGTCTGGACATCTAAGCCAACAAGGCTATCAAGCTGTAGGTAGCTTCAGATGACTTGGAGGAGGTACCCTTCAGGGGTTATACTCTTCTTCAAAACATTGATCACTGCATAGAAGATTTTCTAGGGAAACAGTTCATTGACAGCTGTCTGGTATTGGACACATGCACCTTGGAGATATTGGCCAGCTTGATACCATCTGAAAAAGTGATGTGAATAACTTGGTTGAAGTGTGTGAGGTTTTGCCAGTGAGGAAAACTTGCAACACTGTCATTGTTAAAGGTGAGAAGTGACAATGTTCACAGTGATTGATTGTCAAACAGTGACTCACTACTTCTTGACATTGGCTTTGATCTGTTGCCCAAGTGCCTTTACAATCACCTTTAGGTCCCCAAAGACATCCTTGCCCCAAAAACCATGCCCATAATGCAGTCTGTCAAAGCTGCAGGTGAGGTGGAGATCAGAGAAGCCAATCATCCAGAACATGCTCTGCATCCCATTAAATATTAGTTCATTGATGGTGATTTGTCAGTGGAAACTTAATTCTATCAGTCATAAACCTAACCACTTTAGCAATTCATTGCCTTCAGCTCAATTTGTTGCATGAACACATAATGCATTGATGCCCTGGGCATGCATATGAGGCTCAAAAGTCCTGGAGAGGTCATGGAGTAGCTCTGACAGTACAAGACATACAGGGCAAGGGTGTTTGCCACTGCAACCATGAGTGAGTGCCATTGAGTTAGTACTGCCAGTCTGAGCCAGAAGAAGAAAGTATATTACATCTCTTCAAAATTGGCAGACAGTATCATAAGACTCAGAAAGAGCCAATGGGTAATGTTGTCATGCAAAGATGTATGTGCATACCCAGTCTTTGAGTACTGCTCAATCTCCAGTAACTTTTTAAAAGATTTGTGCCAAATGACATGCTTGAGGGTTGTGTAGCCTAGCTTTCCCTCTTCTTCAGCATCTTTGGGGACCTGAAATGTTCTTAGTCTATATGAATATCTAAACAGTGGATGTCATTAACAATAGGCAGGCAAACAACAATGGTACTCCCACCAACAACATTGCTATTCTGAATCTCAACTGGTAAGTTTGCATAGTGCACAACAATGGGGTAACCCTTGGTAGTGCTGAAAGATGATAGGTTGGATTTGTCAGCATAAAGGATCAGGTGAAACAGCACAGCATTCTTGATATCTGGTAGACTCAACTAGCACAAATACAACATGTTATGTACAGGTAATGAATGACATATTGACCAGGCACATACTTGAACATCCCACCAATGATCTCTGGTCCAGGGCTCATCATAAAAACATTCATACTCAATGCCATTGTGCCTGTAGAGTCACTGTGTGTCCCAAGTGAGGTATGGACTGAGGAATGGATTTTCTAAGATATTGAGTGCCCACTCCCACAGTGGGTAAATATGTGCTTTGAACATACATTCTTCCTTTTTGTATGGTACCTTAACTTTGACCCTGGAGAACTATTTAGAGAGGTAGGACAGATGGTGACAAATGGATATTTGGAAATCTTACTGGAGTGAGTTCCATTGCAGCTGCATCACACACTTTGCAAAGTTTGGCATCATTCTTGAGCATTACTTGGATGGCTTCTTGTGTGACATGAGCAAAGAGATCCAGCAGGGCATTGACCTGTTGCTGATTGAGCAGTGAAGCAAGTGCAATTTCCACAAACTCAAAGTCACCCAATGTGTGGAATGGGGACCAAGGTGTCTTGTCAACCAGGGATGCAGATTTCTCACTGTGAGCATGGCACTCTTTGTAAGACTGATAAATCAGTGGTTGATTGTTTCTTGGATGAAATTAGATCTTGAATTCAGGAAGTTTTGCCACATTAGAACTTGTGGAAGTTGGCATCAACATGTCTGAGGGAATTATGAGCCCTGTGAGAACATGCACCAAAGTGAATATGTACCTGAGGCATGGAGCATGTCACTTGTCTCATTGTAATCTTGTCCCATAGTCACCTTGACTGCAGCTGCAGCTTATCTGAGACTAGGACCACAACATAAATGAAACTCAGACTCACTGGGTTCATCAACAAAAAAATATCCTGTATCCATACAGTGAGCTTCAGCACTCGAGGCTGCAATTTGAGTACTGATGCTCTTGCAGCTTGATGGTGGGCAGCTGAGTTAATAATTGAAGCCAGAAACCATTAGATTGAGTCTGCCTGTGCTATGCACCAATTCATGCACCTTGTTGTTTCTCTTCATACTGATGTTCAAAGCTACATGCTCCTTCTCATCTTCTTTGCACTTCCTGCAACTTGCCTCATGCTACTTGAAACTGGTTTTCTGAAATTTCCTGTTACAGTGTGGGCATTGATGGAAAATGGCATGATTCCATTCAGCATTTTGATGGGTTGAAGCCAAACAGGTGGTATGGGAGGGAGCCATGAGAGAAGATATATTGTAGCTGGCTGAGTTTGTCAGACATGCTGCATATGCTGTGTTTGGCTGATGTAAGACATTGTCATGTCATATCAGTCATTATCAAATCATTATCACTCAGTAACTTGGGCAACTCCTGTCTAATGAAACTTCTTCCCTTGGCACTTCCCCCAAGCTGTTGACATGTCATTACCAGACCATTTTAATGACCCTAATAAGGAAACTTGTGAGCATTGTCAGCTGGCAGCATTATCAGGCACCTCCAAAATTTGCAACACATTTTCATATCTTCCTCCTGCAATGGTAAATACATGTGTTTATGTTTTTCCATCATCCCCTGTAAGCATGCACCTGTGATCTACCTGGCTCCACATCTAAATGTCCTCAGGCTCCTGAATTTTGTCTGCAGTGCAGACTATACTCAACCTCCCATGACAGGCCCCAGCAGGTCATGATGCTGATGCACTGCACTGGCACATCTTGAGCTTTGCTTTGCTTCCCATTTGTGGAGACCTTGCTTCAAGATGCAGTGCTCCAGCCCTATATTCATAACTGTCAAGTGACTGTGCATGAAGGGAGAAGTACTTACCATTACTGCATGTTCTTCAAATGACACTGCCATCTCCAGGAAAATGCCATCCTGAGTAAGGCTGATGATCCATTTTGTGGTGATGTTGTTGTGATGAGACTGGGGACTCATACTCATTCCATTGTAAACATGCATGCAAGGGATGCTGCAATTGCTGACTACATCATATCATGGTCAGTGAAACAGGTTGATATTTTATCAGTTACTGAAACTTATGCAGGGTTGTTGAATGCATAAACCACCACAGATCCAAGCCTCCATGCTTCATTAGCCTTGTGAAGTCTTTGCATAGCTATACCCATTATAACTTGTGGTCATCTCATTCCTGCACATTGTAGATACCATATTATGATCTACACAATGCATGAGCACAGAATGTCTACTGTTCCCCTTACCTTGATGTCATAGATTGGACAGGAAAAAAAAAGATAGGAAAAAAAAGGGCAGTCTCAATTGTTGAGCAACACACTACAACAGTGGATGGGTATGGTAATATTTCTACAGGGATGTCCCAATGTAGCCTTAGAGGCTATTGTGGGACATCCCACTGCTTGCCAGAGGGGGGGGAGGGATGTCCCAAAGTAGCTTTATAAGGAAAATGTGACCAGTCCTAAGATTGAACCAGTGACCTCCCAGGTGTTTACCAGGTGCTGCAACCACTGAGCCATATGGTCTGGGTACTAGTGTCAGTAGCTTGGGGGCTTAGACTAGCACTGTGGGAACAAATCTCCTTGAAGTTAATGCACAGAATGCACCATCTCCAATGTGGTTTCTTCATCTGGCCACTTTTGGAGTGCAAAAACAGTGCACACCCCCTAGGGTCATGCAAATGGTCTGATTGCCTTTTGACCATGTGTCATGTGATGGATCAGGATATACTGCTGTGTTTCCAGGAGGCCTACTATCAGTTACCTTGTGTCCATGTAACTCACATGATCTGGACTTGCTAAGGATGCTGCATGACCCATTGTACTGAGCATGCATGGGTTCCAGCTGCAGTGCCTAACCTGATGAAAATGTGACTGGAGCTAGCATTGAGCCAGGGCCTTCTCAGTGTCAAGCAGCTGCTCTGACCATGGAGCTACCTTGCATTGGATTCTCTATGGTGCCTGTAGGATTAGTGCAGATTACTACTTCACACCTTAGAGGCTGCTTTGGGACATCCCTCTGGTTGCCAGAGGGGGGGGGGTGGGATGTCCCAGTGTAGGCTTAGAGGTGTTGTGGGACATCCCACTGGTTGGCAGGGGGTAGGGTGGGATGTCCCAATGTAGCCTTAGAGGCTGTTTTGGGACATCCCACTGGTTGGCAATGGGGAGGGTGGGATGTCCCAATGTAGCCTTAGAGGCTGTTGTGGGACATCCCACTGGTTGGCAATGGGGAGGGTGGGATGTCCCAATGTAGCCTTAGAGGCTGTTGTGGGACATCCCACTGGTTGGCAATGGGGAGGGTGGGATGTCCCAATGTAGCCTCATAGGCTGCTGTGGGACATCCAAAGTCCCCTTGTGAAAGTCAGTGGAATGTCCCATCCCAGCCTCAGAAGGCTATGATGGCACATCCTCCTAAGTTACCTTTGCATACCAGTACAATGCCCCATGACAACCTCAGAGGCTCATCTGGGACATTCTGCCCTCTGCAGATGGTGTTGCAAAGGTGATCAACACCATGTTCTATGTGGGGGACTTTGAGATATTGGCTTGTCACACAAGTGTTCAAAAACCATATACTTCTTCCTTCATACAGTACAAATTGCTTGAGGTATAGACACAAATTGATTGAATTTATTATTGCAATTTTCATGGCAAATGTGGAGGCCCAGGTGGGTCGTCCCTCTGGCAACTAGTGAGATGTCCCAATACAGCAGAATCAATATTGCAAAGATGCACATGAAAGGTACTATTGTATACTACTATGCATGGTGGGATGGGAGGGGATGTATAGGTTGAAGGATACTTTGTGGATTAAACCTGTCAGAGGAGCAAGGGGGCTAGGATTTCTGCAGCTATTTCAATGCTAATATAAGCTGCACTTTCAGGAGTAGGGACCCCTGCCACCCAAGGCAGTCTTGGGACATCCCAAATAATTGCATTCAAATGGATGGCTATGTGGGAAATCCCATCTGTCCCAGGGCCTAAAAATCTGCATAGCCCTGGGACATGACCAGATGTCCCTGGGCAGACCTTGGTCTGGGAGGCTATTAGGCTGGATGGTTTGGAGAAACTATTCAGCCTAAATGCTTATGAAAAATGGTTACCTGAAGTGCTGCCATCTCTACCTCTTGGCACCTTGCACAACTAGATGTATATTTCAGGTGCATCATTATCATGTCACTGACAGGCCAGGCATGGGCATAGTTATCAAGATCTGGGAACACAGCCACAGCCTAAGGACATGTCAGTGATCCTATCTCCTGGCTTCAATCAAGACTTACCTTGTTGCATACAAGTCTGAGAAGTGTTGGATTTTGCACAGATGCACACTTGGTGATGTCCAGGTGTTCATTGATGGGGTGGAAAATATGTTTCTACTCTCACACATTTCAGATGGGACACTCAGGAGTATAAGTTGGACATACCTTGAACTTCACATATATTTTATGGTTCCAATCAAGAGCAATTTCAAGTGTGTACTCTCCATGTCCAGGATGTCCAGGCTCCCCAATAGGCTTGGGAATCTTTGACTCATCTAAGAGCACACTTGATGTGAGATCACTGTCAGAGGACTCAACAGACTTGGCAGCCAAGTCCTCTTCTGAGGATGGCAGAGTAGATGATGCTCATTGGATGACAGGTCTCTTTGAATATGGGGAAGCTCTGTGTTTAGTTGACTTGGGCTTTTGTGTGAGATGGAATTCTGGGGCAGGTGTAGATCTACAGGAGTTGGGCAGTTCTTCAGACTTGATGACCTGCCTTGTGTCCAAACCAGCTGGAGCAAGAACTTCATCAGCAAGCAGCATCATAGGGCAGCATGGACTTCCAAATAACTCAATTTGATCTGTTAGCATGGAGGGTAAAGGTGGAGGAACAGTGGAATCATGACCAAAGAAAGGTGATACTGGCTTGGCTGTGGTAGGCATTTCTGCTTAGCTTGAGCAATGAGATGCTTGATGGAGATTTATGATCCTGGAATGCAGAGAGGCATTGTGGCATTTTGAAGTGCAAAACAAAACAAGAGCTGTGATAACACAGCACATGGTGATTGGTAACTATGACAGCAGTACAACAGCAGTACACAATTATGCAATTATACAATAGCATCAATTATTGAGCTGGGCTTGACACCATGGTACCACACCACAATAGTGGTATTGTCCAACAGGGTTGTGAGGGACCAGGGTGGCCCTTTTTTGGGTTCCCTAGCACATACTTTTATCTGCTATTCATGTGCAATGAAAGCAGGTGACGAAATCACCAGAAGTTCAAACCATGTACACATTGCAATCACTATTCTCCCCTTCACCTTCCTTAAAGCAGCATTACCAAAAAGTCACTTCTTTTATTTAAGAGCACAGGATCTGTGCATGTGCTTGCCATATCCATCAATGGACAAGTTCTTGCTGCTGGCAGTAGGTTTGTACCATGGACTGAGACTCATACTAATGATGTCTAGGTACTGAGGGAGTTAAGCTCTGGAACCTCAAAACTCAGAAGGAGCTGACTTTGGTGACCTACTTGGAGTCCCATGGCATTATAAGTTGCGCTATTTGGATGAAAGTGAAGCAAGCACCTGCTGAAACTCTGTGCCATGGCACTGGTATGGGATACCTCATATTCATGAGATCCAACACTCTTGATGTAAGACACTTCTCTTGATGCAAAAATTCATCTAATCTGAGATATGTAGAAGCACTTTCAGGAGATTTGTGCCAGGCAGCTAGGCTCAGGACCTGAAATTACCTGTGTTGCATGGGATATGTATGTTGACCACTGATTCAACCTGCCATGTTGCCATCAGAACCCAAGACAATATTGTTCAGGTTCTTTCACTGAGTATGAGCTGGTGTTTGCAGTTCATCTTGATAGTACTGTTCCAAAGTCTATTGCCTTTGGCAAGAATGGAAGCATCTATGTCTTGGCTTGTATGATGGAAATGTGTAAGTGCTTTGTCTTGTGTTGGAGTGTGACTCATGAGGTCTGTAAGTGTCAAGATGGATGGAAATGATGGAAAAGTGATTGCTGAACATCACTGTCAATCAGTAATGTAGAACCAACCATATCCAATTTATGTCCTGCTCATATTTCAATAGCAGATCTGCTGCTGTCCATTTGAAAAAGGGGCTATTCATGATCAACAATGCAATGAATGGGTTTACTATGTATCATCTGGATGGTGCACAGTCCATCAGAACATTCCTGACTGACCTGCCACCTAGTTTAGCCATTCCAAAACAAGTGGGATTTGGAGAAGAGGCCAGAGTTGTTATTGGGGGTAGTGATAGTGGATGTGTATACATATTTGACAGGAAAACAGGTCAGTCATTGAAACACTCCATCACACCAATAGTACTCTCATACAAACCATTGTGGTTAGTCATCTCTCAACATTATTTTAAAAGCCTTTACTAAATATGTGCAGGTGCAAGATATCAGTGGATGTTGCATTATTGTGTGCACTTCACTAGCTGCCAGTCACAAGAATATGTCAATTAGTGTATGGGATCACATGTATAACTCATGGAAAGCTCCTGACTCCAAGCCTTGGACAATTATACCAATGTTACAGGGCCTGACTGGCATTATCATTGTGTGGGCCCTAATCATGCTAGGAGGATGCCTCCCAATTGCACATACTAGCATGAGTATGCTACCATACATAAGATATTACATCTTGATTCTCAGGAACAGATTGAACTGGGCATGTGGATGATGGACCATCTGTGCTGGCCAAATGTATTTACCATTGACCTATCCTGCCTCTTCCATGTCAAACCCACATATGCAGTTCCTTACAGTGGGGAGGGTGACACCTAGATATGCTTTGGGACATTGCACAGCAAATCAGTGAGGTCAAGCAAATTATTGGGGATGTACAAGCCAGACACAGTGCAACTGGGACTGCCAGCATGAGTGGGAGTGATGGAGTCATCACTGGGAGCCAGAGGAGGCTTGAACATTGGAAGGAGGACTATGCTGGAGAATCAGTGATCTACTAAATGTAGGTTGTCATGTTATATACCCTGATATCAAAATTTCATCTATTGATGACCACTGTAACAATGGGGCTTCACTCTGAATGAAGGGTTGAAATCAGATGCCTGATGATGGTCCTAGGTTGGCTTCATGTCATGTGGACCATTGAAATCTGAGCAAGCCATTGTTGAATGTTTGAATTAAGTAGTATAATAAAAAATCACCAGTACTAGGAAAGCTGCTATGGAGAGGAGTAGGTCTCTGACTACTGCTTCTGTAGCTGACAGGGATGCAAAGCTCACCCTAGCTCTGGTTTGCCTGGTTGGACAATTCAGACACCATGTCTCAGGCACCTAGGACACAACAGAACCCATTTCAACATCAGGAAACTTTTTCAGGTGTCTGCCAGTGCAACTGACAGTCTACAGAACTCAAGTAGGGTACATAGGTACATATACCAAAGCCCTCCAGGCTACAGGTTGTCACACCTCACAGATCATCAGCATCAATATTACCAGGACCATCACTGTCATCATGACAACATTGACCACTGTCATCTCCATCTTCATGGCCATCATTGTTGTTGCACAGTCAGTACCATATCAAAAGTTCAAAATCTGTCATTGTGGCTGCCTATAGTGATCACTGCACTGTCCAGGAGTTGTGAGCACTTACCCCATCTTGACATGTCCATATCATTGTCATCCTAGCCCACACCAAGTTATTGTTGTCATCTCTGCCCCACTGTGACTTGCTCCCTTGGCATTTCTGTGAGAGTGTATTGCTACCAAAAGTAAATGTAATCATGAAATTACCTCTGTGCACTCTGGAACTACTCAATGTACTTGTCTATTCAAGATGGATCTTGAGAAAGATGTTCTTACATGAGCAAATGCAAATGCAGTTGCACCATCCACAAGGGGGTAATTTTGGGGCATGAGAACAGAATGGTGAATGTTGGGTTTCTTGCCATGGTGCCCTGAAATCGAATCTAGGGAGTGAAAAACTGAAGGAATTAGGGCCTAGCCGTTCTGGTTTGCGAGATATTTCAATTCTGAGATGCATGCTGCAAGACAAGGAAGTGGCAGCAATTTCCAGGTTCTTCTCTCATGGCAAACCTTTCCCAAAACAGCTGTAATACAAGTGTTCAAAATGATTTCACTACCCATCTCTCTCTGCCAGATTGTCTAAGTGAGAATGGTGACCCTGTGGCACACCAAAGTTGAGTGATGCAGTTTGAATTAGGATATGGACAATGGTATAAACCCAAAAACTGTCACCATTGTCATCTGATGACTGTGAGTGTTTAGGGTCATAGTAGGAATCTCTGTCACTTTCCATTCTCTACCACCAGTCATGACAGCACTGGGTCCTTCCTGAATGCTGGCACAATGCTCCTTGAACTCTCTCCTCCTCTCCAATTGTGCCTGATCTGTTCCATACTCATTACACACTTGACCACCACTTTTTCCATGACCAAATTGTCATCCTTCTGCATATCCAAGGCCAAGATCACAGCAGATAATGTGTTCATCAAGTTTGGTATTGCTGCTATACTTCATGAATGTCAGGTAGGGGTAAGCAGATACCACCACCACCCTCTGGACTGGTATACTTACAACTCATATACTTGCTCTTCAGATGTATAGGAGCCCAAGCTTCCAATCTGAGAGCCATTGAATGACAAAGGGTAGTGTGTAGTGTCATGTGTATAATGTTGGTGATTTTGAAAGAAAATCATACTGCCTCCCTTACATCAGCCACCACTATGTCCACCACCTATGCCAACATGCTGAGTTTGCAAGGGGGTTATTGGGGCTGGTTTATGCTACTGACTCATTTCTCCATGCAAAATGGTACCTGTCACACATCACATCCATCCTGCTTGATTACTGTGCCAAAACTCATTCAAACTAGAGGTAAGACAGGGCCCAGATTGACATTTGGCATTTCTTGAGGCCATGAAACTCCACCATTTGTTGGGATGTCACAAGTGGTGAGGTGCCACTGGTGTACATGCATTGGGCATTTTGCTGCTCTTCACAACTGACAGGTTGAGGAACACCTATTCAGTAGGGAGTGATATGTTGGTGATGCCCAATGAAGTTGCCCACTCTACTTCCTGCTCACTGTTTTCATGTTGTTGCAATTGTTGCAATCTCTAGTGCACAGTTGGCAATGAAATGCTTAATGCAGCTGAAATGCTACCAGATCAATTAAGTCCTAAGACATATCCTACTTGCTGATTTCACAGCCAATGATCCATCACTAGGCTCCATAATATTAATTGTCAACTGTTTGCCACAATTATCACAATCTTTGTTGTAACTTGTTCCATCATAGATTCATGACACAGCACCACTACACACAAAGATGTGTGTGTTATACAGTGATTCCCAATCTTATCCTTGTTCAAAAGTCACTGCCCTGCCACAATATGAGTTGCAAAAGCTGGTATTTCATTGCCATGCTCACATCCTTTTCATCTCAAAGCCCCAAGATTACATTGTACCTCATCCTCAAACATTTGGAGATATCCACTTAGTGTTGATACCACCAGATTGGAGGGATGCCTGCCTCCCACCCTACTCTCAAACAATGTTTTTGCAAAGAATGCATCAAGAAAGGTGACACAGACACCCATGGGAAAGCAAGAGGTGTTCTTATGGAGGCTCATTTTATGCCAGCACACATGAAGTGAGTTTGTGAAGAACATGCCACCCAGTACTCACCACCTGTCCAACAGAGCACCATAGATGCTGTAGACTCTGTTGCTGGGCACCTCTTTGCACTTACCATTACTGATGATGGTCTGGACCCTGGTACCACTGTCAGTAAACTGTGGCACTCCCACACTGATTTTCAGGCCATGGGCTCAAGCAGCAGCATGATTAGCAACCTGCCCAAGGCAATCCCTTTAGAGGATCTTACCAGTAGTCTGAGTCACATTACCCTTCATTCTCCTGGGCCTTCCATCACATTCCCCCCCAAAGACACCCTTGAGAGAGAATGGCTCTCACCTGACTTGCCTGTTACTTCCACTACCCCCACTGTATCTGGTCATTGCAAGTCATCAAGGAATGGCCATGATCATTGCACCATCAGAGCTCTTCAGATCCTTAGCAACATTGAATCTCAAATCCATTGCTGTCAGCAGCTCCTCCTTGATTCATCAGACCTCAGCTCTCTTGATGTCCAGCATGAACTTGTTGTTCTATGCAAAGCAATTGATTGGGTTACTCATTCCATGGAGTTGATGGCTACATGCAAAAAGGCTTTATCTGCATTGTTGGATGAGGTCCAATCCCAGGCAAATGAACAGGTACCTACAACTTTGCCTTGAGATCTGGTTGAGATTGACACAGGCAAGTATCTGGATGTTGTGATTTTTACCATTGCTGATGTTTGATTGTACAGGGAAGCAGTACTCACCACCAATCAAGCAAATGGATGTGATCACCCAAGTTGCACTATTGCTAGGAGTCATGTGCAGTATAATCTTTGGCATTGGCACTCTGCATGCTAACTTTATTATGAATGGACTTTCCCTCTTGCTATACCTTGCCTTTCAGAAGCTGGATGGGACACTGAGTCATTTGCATGGGACTGTGCTGAAGCAAATACCATCAACCACCAGTGGCATCTTGTCCAGGTTCCACCTTGCAGCCAAGACAGTGATGTATGCTGTCCACAGCTGCCATTGCCTCTATGCTCCCACCTTTTCACTCAGATTGGATGTCCCCACTTATCCTTCCTTCTGCACTCATTTCCCTTCACCAGAGAAGCAATGTGGCGAGCCATTACTCAATACACAAGCTGAGGGGAATCCTTACCTGAAGAAGGTGTTTGTCTACCATGACTTCAAAGACTACCTCATAACACTACTGTTTCAACCTGATACTGAGGCAGCAATGGACTCTGCATGTGATGATTTACATGCCTCATCCTTGCCACCATGCTTTGTGAAGAACCCATTTGAAGCCCAGTTCCTTCAAGAGTTCCATGCACCTGTGCCTGGGAAGTGCTTCATTGATCATGGAGATGAAGGTTGATATACATTTGTGCTTCACATGGATTTCTTCAACCCTGGAGGTATGAGTGTACAGGGACCAAGTGTGTCATCTGGGATCATTCCAATGGCATGTCTCAATCTGCCTTTGGATGTGCGGTACAAGCCAGAAAATCTTTATCTTGCTGGCATTATTCCAGGCTCCAAATAGCCATCACTTGAAAATCTTAATCATTACATATGACCACTGATGAACAACCTAGTTGCTGCTTGGGATTCTGGTATTTGTTTTTTGAGAATGGTGAATCATCCTGGCAGACAAGTTACATGCTGAGGGGAGAGGGATCTCCCTACACTAGGAGTGTGTATATAGTGTCAATAGGCAGTCTACTAAGCATCTTTAGGCATTGCAACAAAACAAACAAATGCAACCCCTCTTGAGTGACTTTGACACTCTCTAGGCTCTAGGTCACCTGATACTACATCTTCCTCCATCAACTCACTTCCCCTGTTGTCACATCACCTCTCAACACTCCCCCTAGCTGTTGCGATGAAGGTCCAATGCTTCTGACAGGTTTCCTGTTGCCTGTACTCACTCACTTGTGCTCTTCAGGTCTGCATTGTTGGTAATGTATGTACCATACTGTCACCTCATTACCTTCTTGTTCACTTCCATTCAGATCACTTTCGCTTCATTTACATTAGTCTCTCTTTTGATTGCCAACAGTATTTGCCACAAACTTGTTCAGTACCATTATGATGCTGGCAACCTTGAATGACATGTCATTGCATTATAATGTACATTACAATACCATTCTGATGGAATCTAATAGAACAACTGTACCTTACCTATCATTTCAACAAGCCACATGACATTGTGATAATCTTTGATAATCAGAAGGTATTGAAAGGATAGTCCTAATGACTCTGTGTCTATAATATATGTAAGTGAAGTGGCACTCCAAGCTGATCATTATCCCTTCACCATCATGCACTGCTGTCCTTACCCTTCAA